CACCTAACCCCATGGTAACAAATTGTTATACAAAGAGTAAGCCTGGCCCCTGAATCTCTCTGGCTTTCTTGGTTGCCCTGTGATCTCTTCCTCTGCACTCACCCACCCAGTAATATCATCTGCCATGTTGTGGTGTGGCCAGAATCCCTCACCAGTGCTAGACCAATGCCAGTACCTTGTTCTTGAATCCCCAGAACTATGAGCTAAATAAACCCTTTTTCTTTCTTTCTTTTTTTTTTTTTTTTTGTACTTGGGATTGAACTACTCATGGACACTCAACCACTGAGCCCCATCTCCAGCCCTATTTTGTATTTTATTTAGAGACAGGGTCCCACTGAGTTGATTAGCATCTCATCATTGCTGAGGCTGGCTTTGAATTCGTGATCCTCCTGCCTCAGCCTCCCAAGTCACAACCCTTTTTCTTTGTAAAATACCCAGCCTCAGGAATTTTGTCACAGAAACAGAAAATGACTAAGACAATATGAATGAATAAAACATACATTTGAATTAACACAGGATTAAGATTGATATAAAAGTCTATTAAGGAGGAAGGAGAACTATTAATAGTGTACTGATTAAGCCTTCACTCAGGCTATCTTTTGGTTTCAACATCTTTGAATCCCACATCATTTAGTAAGGGATGAGTGGAGTTAAAAGAAAAAATAAAACTGGACACAAAAAGTAGAACACAGTAGTTTTAGAGTGCTAGAAAACAGAAGAGTATTGCCAAAAAGTGAGATTTTGGAGTTTGAGATCTTAGAGGGAAAGCAGTTTGAGGAGCTAGAAGAATGTAAGATAGTATAAAGTGGTTCATGGAAATGATTCATTTACATTCCACAAAACACTGAGATGGGAAAGTCAGAACTGTGTAATGCAGTAAGCATATTAGTTGTGTAACTCTAAAAAGGTCAAATACAAGACCTTAACCCCATGAATCCATTGGTTTTATTCAATTACAACAAACTAAATTTGAAATTTGTTATTTTATATGTTTGTTAGATAATTATGTTTCAGTTTTCTATTGAGTGAAAATTTTTGACTCATTTTGGAATCATTCATGTATGTAATTTTAACCACAAAGGTACATTGTGTTCATTTGAGACATTAAATGGTTTTTAAGCAAATACAAAAGTACATGCTATGATTACAGTAGTAGTTGTAGCATTTAACTTTATATTAATTGATACAGGATTTATATCAGTAAAAAGCTATTGAAATTTTGATGTCTAGCTTTTCTATCAGAGAAAATGTCACTAAAATGCTCACTAAAAATTTTACATTTCTGTTTAATTTCACTCTTTGAATATAGAACATAGGATGGTAGATATTTCTTAAAAACTCATGTTAAGTATGAGAGATTACCTCAGTAACTGTCTTTCGCTTAATCTCAACAAAATTCAAGACTTTTATTCAACACTGAAATGTTATGCATTTCCCTTACCAGTAGTGAGTCAAAGAAAAAAACCTCATAATTCTGAGCTCAGGATACATATTGGTTAATGGTCCACCTTTTTTTATAAAACAGTGCTAAATCCAGTCCAAGAGTGTGTCATGACAGTATAGAAGATGTACTTAAGTCTTCCTGAGAACAGAGAGTAAGCATCTTCCTAGAAGACAAGCCCCTGAACTGAGGCATGCAGCCAAGTGCGGCTTGGTCAGAGAGCCGGCGGGGACAGATCCTCAAAGCAGAAGTGATTGAAAACACACACAGTCCCAAGTCCTAGTGCAGAACACAAGACAGAGGAAGTAAAATCTAAGCTAAAAAAGCAGACTGAGGCCACATGGCAAGCCCTGTTTGGACAAAGACTTGTCCCTCCCACCCTCCCTCCCTTCCTTCCTTCCTTAGTCTCAATCTTTTATTAAGTTTGAGCAGTCAGTTAAGAGACTTTCTATGTACCCCTTACCCCCGTGCATCAGGGCCTTTCCAAATAACAACATCTTCCACCAGAGTGATATGTTTGTTATAACTAATGAACCTTCATGAACACATCCTTATTTCCCCAATTCGGAAGTTTACACTAGTATTTGCTCTGGATACTGTATGTCCTATGAGTTTGGGAAAACATGTATGGATATGTATCAGCCATTTTGGTATAACACAGGAATAGTCTTGTTACCTTACAAATATTTCATGTATCACCTCTTTATCCTTCTCTCCCAACCCCTGAAAGCCCCTGCTTCCTTCATTCATATATATATATATATATATATATATATATATATATGAATATGTATATATGTATACATACATATGTATATATATATATACATACACACATACACATAGTCTGCCTTTTCCAGAATATTATGTTTGGAAATATAGTATATAGCCTTTTCAGATTGGCTTACTTCACTAAGTAACATGCATTTAAGTTTCCTCTGTGTCTTTTTGTATTTGGATACATGATTTCTTTTGAATGCTGAATAATATTCCTTCGCCCAGTTATCTAATGAAGGACTTCTTGGTTGCTTACAAGTTTTGGCAATTGTGAATAAAGCTACTATAAATGTCTTTGTTCAGGTTTTGTGTGGATGTGAATTTTTATCTCATTTGAAATACCAAAGAGTGCAGTTTCTGGATCATACAGTGTAATAGGTTTATTTTTATAAGAAACTATCAAAATGTCTTTTTTCTTCCTGCTAACAATGAATAAGGGTTTTAGTATTTCACATCCTCATCAGCATTTGGCCATCATTTTCTGTATTTTAGCCATCGTAGGTGAATAGGTAACTATTGTTTCAATTTGCAATTCCTAATGACACAGTCTTTAGTATCTTTTCATATGCTCATATGCTCATACACATCTGTGTATCATTTTAACTGAGGTGTCTGTTAAGTTTTGGCCCATTTTAATTGACTTGTTTGTATTGTTGAGTTTTTGAGACTCTTTATGTCTTTTGAGTAGCAAAAGTACTTCATTAAATATGTATTTTATAAATATTTCTTCCAGTCTGTGGCTTATCTTCTCATTAACTTGATATCTTTCTTGTTAATGAGCCTGAGTTTTATTTTATACTAGTGGTTATCCAAGTGCATATTTATGTTTTTATAATTGATATGCACATATTCCTGTGAGAAGGTATTATGTGAATTACTTAATATATAAAAACATTAAAAATTAAATATAATAAAGAAATGAATGATGTTTTATGAATTATGAATGTATTGATTGAGGTTCTTAATTGCAAAATACAGAATTTGCTTTGGAATTACATCATGTTAGAAGGCTCTTTGGATTTGGGGGCTGATTGGAGAACTGGGCTCTTAGAAAACCATACACCTTGACTCCGATACCAGTGGGTACCTCTGACTCTTAGAATAAGAGGCCAGATATCTTCCAGTGCTAATAGGGAAGAACTAAATGACTCTTCTAGCTGATGGAAAAGACTCAAACAATTCTGCTACCTTGTTCTCTAAAGATGGTTTTTCTCCTTTGTGATTCTGTGGGCATAAATGGTAGATAGAACCTATGCTGCTATCTGTCAGGAGTCTGGAAGTGTGAATTCCTTTATATTCTACTTTGGGATCTTATGGCTCCAGATGTAAGAAACTATCAAAATAAAATATACAGAAGGGATTCCACAGATGACAGATATTTGCTAAAATGACAGAAAATACATAATTTGCTGACATTGAAAAATAATTGTTATTGATAATAATCTCATTTATTTATAAGTATTTAGCAATCATGAGGTGTTATAAAATCTCAAGCAAAATACATACGCAAGGAAGGATCATCATTAGTGATAGTTCTATAAATTCAATTTTTTGGGCAGTATCATGTGTGATCTGAATACATCACTATTATTTTTAACTTATCATGTAGCTCAAAAATACATTCATCACTCCTTTGGAGTTTTGTTCATGTTTTCCTTATGAGTACACTCTTCACTGTTGGATTATTTACAGGATATCTAAAGCAACCTGTCTGTTTCATGAGACTATCTTTTCCCTATATATTATTTCTGAATCTAATATGCAAAGATTCATTTAACAAAGCACAGATAAGTGATAATATTTCATAATTCATTGAGAGCCAGTCAGTAAACAAAGGGACTCTGTTTCACCCCCTGGCAGAGCAGAGTTCCCACTCTCCTTCATGTGACTCTGCTCATCCTACATTATTTCTGTACCATGTAACACATTGATTAAGTGAAGGAGTCTGTTAGCCTGCACAGGAGTATTAATATAGTCCAGATAATTCTTGGTTAGATGAAAAAAAATAGGTTCAGAATTCTAGATATTTCTCTTATACCAAAAGTGGATTTTGCCATGCACCCTGTGAAGCAAATATATTTTGTTTTAGAATCTAGGGCTTGGGAAAGGAGAGATTTTGAGAGAGTAGCAGGGTAGTGTCATGGCCAGATGTGAATTTTTAATCACTGTCCCAGATTTAGCAGGTGAGGTTGTACTAGAAAAGACTAAAAGCAGGAAAGTTAGAAAGGAGAATATTGTATATTATTCAGAATTCTGACTGATGACGATATGATTGAATGAATCTCAATATTTAAGGGTTGGTGAATGATTAGAAGGAGATACTAGGGTAGGAAAAAAGAATGAAAAATGACCTTCTGGTTTATGACTATAACACAGGTTTCTTTTTTTTAACATTTTTACAACAAAGGTTGAATGAACCATGCTTTATAATTTCTGGGGGTTTTTTTAGGGAGAAAAAAAAAAACCAGTTGAATATTATTCTTTCCTGATATTGTGCAATACTTGCATCAGTGTTTTCATTAATTCCACAAGTTCCCCTGGAACTTGGATCTACTGTAGACACTGGTTCTTTCTAAATTTCAGATAAGGTTTTTCACAGGTAGGTACTCAATTTCCATGATTTTTCCCAAAGTGGGAAATAAGTAATATTTCATCATTTCATCATAAGATTAAAAAAAAAAAGATTGCCTTCCTAATACCTGATCAACGTATTATGAAAATGTAATGACTTGCCCTGTGTGTCCTGGGTTGAACTCATTACTATTGTATGTCTTGCTTTTAGCTGGGATGATAGCAGTTCTGTGAGCAGTGGCCTGAGTGACACCCTCGATAACATCAGCACTGATGACCTGAACACCACGTCTTCAGTCAGCTCTTATTCCAACATCACTGTCCCTTCCAGAAAGAACACTCAGGTAGGAGTCACCTACTTTCTTTTAACACTGCTTCTGCCACTTTCTTCCCCCAAATTATTTTGTATTAGATTAAGTCGTAGCACAGCCTCCTACCCTGAAATAATTGCATTAACTGATTAAGCCAGAGCTAAGAAGGATTCATTTTGCTTCCCTGGTCCCCAAAGTGTCTTTATCTTAGTCTTTGCTAGAGCTACAGCCTTAGGATTTGCAACAATGTGCACCTCAGCCTAATTTTGATCATAGAAAGCAGCTTACATATATGTATTTCCTATTTTTATCATTTAACCTAGAAAGAGCTATGTTGTCACGTGTTTCCTATTAATATTGATATATTTGTTCCAAACAGCCAACCTTTGGATAGTGCTTGATTAATTTTATTTTGATCCCTGAAATGAATTATGAGTTCTCATGTACTAATGGCAAGTCAAGAATGGACATTAAATGATTAAGTTTTATCTTGTCTTACCTTTCCTTGTTACATTTGACACAGAAAATTCCTTCCATTCTGGAGTGTTTAATTAGGTTTTTCTGCACATATTTATCCTGACATTCTCTAATCTGTGCAAGTGAGAATTATGTGGCTAAAATTAATGAAACCTAAATGAAGACATAGATAAAAATAGAATCGTCTCAAGAATCCGTTTTTTTTTAAACCAGTTATCTGGGAAAGCATTCCAGTGCCTAATTCACTTTATAGATTTTTCTGCATAGAGTTTTTCTGAAATATTTTTCCTCATAGCTGAAGACGGATTCGGAGAAACGTTCCGCAGCAGATGAGACCTGGGACAGTCCCGAAGAGCTGAAAAAAATAGAAGAGGATTTTGACAGTCATGGCGATGGAGGTAGCAAGTGGAAGAGTAGCTCCTCGGGACTTCCTGAGGACCCTGAGAAGACCAGCCAGAAAGCTTCCCTGTCTGTTTCTCAAACGGGTTCCTGGAGGAGAGGCACATCCACCCAGGGAGGGACTCCAGCCAGACAGAAAGCTGGGACAAGTGCACTCAAGACTCCTGGTAGGCCTGGCACTTGGCAGCTGTTCCAAAAAGTGCTTTAATTTATTGTTTTAATTCAGTTTTATTTTCTTTAAAAATAGCTCTCTTTTAAAATCAGATTCTTCTCCATATACTTAAGTAACATTTTAACTAAATTTCACACACTTTTTTCATGAATATGACATGAATATGACCATCTAGGCATGCTTTAGAGACCTCCCTCACAGTTTGGGGATCTGGAGTGTCTTAGTGTTTTGTGATCATTTATGGTCATGGAGAAATAAAATAAGGTTACTGAATCAACAGTGCACCTCCATCTGTTCTAACTTCATTAGGAAAATTTATAATATTTATGTTAGTTATGCCACTGAGCTTCATCACAAACTCTGAGGGACATAAGCAGTCACACTAATTTAATGAGTTAGGATGCTGGATATTTAAGATCCTGTTTGGGATTAGATTTTTTAAAAGAGTAAAAGAATTCTGAAAGAACACACCTTTTCCTTCTTTTTTTTTTTAACTCTCCGTTCCCCTTAACTTTTTTTAAGCAGTTATTTAACTTTTATTAAACTTTTATTAAACAGTGTCACCTGAAGTATGGATGTTACAAGTCATCCAAATATAATCATTTCGATGTATTATATTTTCTTTCTCTAATATTTTGCTTGATCGGGTAAAGTGTGATCCTTTTAAAGCATGAGAATTGCAAGACATGAGATATTAACAGATAGCATAAGTACTTGTTTTCATTTTATCTCCTCCATCTCTGATCAAATTTCCTCTGACAGCTAAAATTTTTTTTGTGCTTACACACTCAGTCCTCCCAATACGTTAGATTGCACGCCAAGATCTAAAGCAGTTCACATTTAGGAGCTGAAGTAATATAAAGAAACATTCTCATTTTATACATTACTTTAGGAAGAGGCATGACACCAAAATGTGCAGACCCATATTTGTGTATTTCTCATTAATTAGGGAAAACTGATGATGCCAAAGCTTCTGAGAAAGGGAAAACTCCCCTGAAAGGATCCTCCCTACAAAGGTCTCCTTCAGATGCAGGGAAAAGCAGTGGAGATGAGGGGAAAAAGCCCCCCTCAGGCATTGGAAGATCCACTGCCACCAGCTCATTTGGATTTAAGAAACCAAGTGGAGTAGGGTCTTCTACTATGATCACTAGCAGCGGAGCAACTATAACAAGCGGCTCAGCAACACTGGGCAAAATCCCCAAATCTGCCGCCATTGGTGGGAAGTCAAATGCAGGGAGGAAAACCAGTTTGGATGGTTCACAGAATCAAGATGACGTTGTGCTGCATGTGAGCTCCAAGACCACCCTACAGTACCGCAGCTTGCCTCGCCCTTCAAAGTCCAGCACCAGTGGTATTCCTGGACGAGGTGGCCACAGGTCTAGTACCAGCAGTATTGACTCCAATGTCAGCAGCAAGTCAGCTGGTGCCACCACCTCAAAACTAAGAGAACCAACTAAGATTGGGTCGGGGCGCTCAAGCCCTGTCACTGTCAACCAAACAGACAAGGAGAAAGAAAAAGTAGCAGTCTCAGATTCAGAGAGTGTTTCTTTGTCAGGTTCCCCTAAATCCAGCCCCACCTCTGCCAGTGCCTGTGGCACTCAAGGGCTCAGACAGCCAGGATCCAAGTATCCAGATATTGCTTCACCTACATTTCGAAGGTAAGGATATACAAAATGATGCATAAAAAATATAGGATGTACATGTCATATACATATACTATATACAAACATTTATATATGTGTGTGTGTATATATATAAAAATGCAAAGAGTTCTAAGAATCTGATCATATACATAGGTAGCAAAAAAGCAGTGCTCCTTTTGAGAAATGGTCAAACTTTGCAATTGCATTATCATTGTGGTATTGGCTATACAAACAGCATATGTAAGAGAATTGAAATCAGATGGCAATACTCAGGGATAGTGATTAAAACAAAGTAATAGCTTGTAAAATTTCAGTAGATTTTCATCAATCAAAGCAGTCAGTCTTTATGACTATCAGCACTGACTTACAATGTTTTGTGATATGGCTGGTTCTTAATGAGTCGATGGTCATAATGTAGATGGTGCTGTGTTCTTATAACAGATTACATAGGGCAAATTCATACAGTACCATATCTTGACATACTAAAGAAAATTAAGGTATGATATGATTGGCAAGGTTTGAAAACATTCAGAATTTTGATATAGGATGACAGGCTATTTTCTAGTTCTTCATCAGCTTTCTTTGTCAGGACTCTGGTAAGCAAATGATTGGTTTCTGCAACAGTATGATATTTGGTATCAAATAGGTGAAGTTCTCAGAAATATAACTGTTTCTAAATAACCTAAGTAGCAGGAAAATAAATATAGTTAAAAACTTGAAACAAATAAGTTATACCTACCTGGGTCTGTTTTCTCATCTGAGAAATTATAGAGCATGACTTACAGTTCATTACCTCAATATTTTTAATGTTGCTTTTATTCTGCTAACTAAACCAAGGCCTTTGATATTTTGGAAATAATTGGTCTTGAAACATTTAGCAAATTTGATTTTTTTAAATTCTAGAAAGTTCAATTCTCAATATAAATATTAATCCTGAAGAACTGGCATTTTGAAAGGTTGATCCTCATTGGAAAGAATAAATTACAGCTTATAGCAAGAGTAAATATTTGCATTGCTTAAGGAAAAGCAAATAGTGCCCTCCTGTGGTCCATTACCTATGAAACAATTTCTCATATTCGTCATAAAATATTTCACTGTAGAAAATATGGATTTCATTGCAACTTAATCTGTAATCATTATGCCATTACTTCATATCACTTTATTTCCATATTTACATAAATCTGATTATATCATCTGCTTCATTTACAAAACTAAAATGTTTTCTAAACTAAACTCCAATATTTAACTTAGCACCAACTGTGTTTCATGTCTATTATAAATATGCATTTGAAGAGCCCTGGCAACTGATACGAAACCCTTTGGCCTTTCCAGGGGAAAATGTGGACAAACTCACACGTTGCCAACAATGTCCAATATCGTTTCTGACCAACTACTCCCTGACAGGCACCCAGGCCACCAGATATTCAATGCAACTTCCTAGACTTTGCCTTAAGCATTCCTTTTAGATACTGAATAAACTGTCAAAAAGAAAAAAGAAAAAAAATTCATTTAAGTGTTCTATATCGAATGCGTAGAAGTTGTTTCATTATAATGGTTCTGTAAATAGGTAACCTCAAGAATGATCAGAATACTTGCATGAAAGATTCTTATGATCGCTTAAATTGTGAAAGCCCAGAACTTTCATGCTTGGTCTTTGTTTTGCCTGCTTCCTCCTTGCCCCAGGTAGCAGCCCAGAGCTGACTTAACCCTCACCATGAGGATATGAGAGATTTTGAGCACTCAATTAATAAAACAACCAAGCCTATAAAGTTCTTTAACATAGAGACAAGATGTGCTTGGTAGCTCAGTGCACCACAGCACACTTGGCTCTTGTGCACTGTAACCCTAAATATTAAATGTGGATATTAGTTTCTTGGAACAACTGAAGTTGTTATTTGTTTTTCTTTTAGGTTGTTTGGTGCCAAGGCAGGTGGCAAATCTGCCTCTGCACCTAATACGGAGGGTGTGAAATCCTCCTCAGTAATGCCCAGCCCTAGTACCACATTAGCGCGACAAGGCAGTCTGGAATCACCGTCGTCTGGTACGGGCAGCATGGGCAGTGTTGGAGGGCTAAGTGGCAGCAGCAGCCCACTCTTCAATAAACCCTCAGACTTAACTACAGATGTTATAAGCTTAAGTCACTCCTTGGCCTCCAGTCCAGCATCGGTTCACTCTTTCACATCAGGTGGTCTTGTGTGGGCTGCCAATATGAGCAGTTCCTCTGCAGGCAGCAAGGACACTCCGAGTTACCAGTCCATGACTAGCCTCCATACGAGCTCTGAGTCCATTGACCTGCCCCTCAGCCATCATGGCTCCCTGTCTGGACTGACCACAGGCACTCACGAGGTTCAGAGCCTGCTCATGAGAACGGGTAGTGTGAGATCTACTCTCTCAGAAAGGTGAGCTTTCCTGAAAGCATTGCTGAAGTCTCACCCCTTTCTCCCTGCACCGTGCCTAACTCCCCATGTGAGTGACGTTTGTGCAAAGCAATACAAGATTGAAAGACATAATATTGATGAGACTTAGCCTTTTCTTTTATACCAAATTTGCAGAGAAATAACACCATTAAGGGTAGGGTGGCTAGATAATTAAGTTTCTCAAGATGAATGCGTACATTTATAGCCAGCAGGCAATGTGAACATTTAAAGCATATAGTTATATATTGAGTGATGTCTTCTCAAGACATTTTAATGATTTGGCTTGAGCTCCATGATAACATAAGCTCCTATGATAATTTAAACATTTTTAAAGACCAAATTTAAATGAATTCTATAATCATGCTCTGAGCAATATGTTAAATTGGTTTTATTTGTGCTTCTACATGAAAAAAAAAAAGCAAACTGATCACTGGGGAATCCTAGGAATTGGAGGGGAAAAAAGTCAGTTGTCAGCCCTGAATTCTTAAAGAAAATTATATACAGTGCCATTTGTAAATAAGGCTCTTAAAAATTAATCATCGTCCAAGTATTTCCATTGGTTTAATAAATTCTAACTTAAAATACAGAATATAACGCAGCATCTGTGACTAATACACTTACCAGAAGGTGTCAATGTTGAACAAAATGATTCTAGAATCCTACTGACCAACCCCCAAAATCCTAAAATAATTGATAACGACTCTTACGCCTGGGAAAATTTATTTTAAAAATTCTTAAAACTGCCACTTTTCCCCTACTTGTTTCTTGGCACACTTAAAGCTTTCACAAATAGTCTTGGCCACATGTGTTAATGTACTATTTGGGTAACACTCTGGTCATTGAAAATTTTTGATACATTTTCCTTTGGTTTTGCTACTGTAAACAGCATATACAACCAGTGTTTGATTTTTTTCATCAAAGAAGTTAGGCTTCCAAAAACATTGCAGATTCTAGTTTCAGAACTTCTAAGGTAAATGGGCATCATAACAGGTCATTTATAAAACTTCTAAAAATTAAGTCAAATTATAAATTTTCATAGCCAATTTTAATGAATGTATCATAAGTTATAAGTCAGATGTGGGGAATCCAAATAGCAGGTTGACAGCCAGATCAAGCATACTACAAATAGGTTATTATTTATTATCCAGAAACACCCTCCAAAAAACAGATTATTTTTAAATTATGAAGGTAACTGCAGCAAGTTGGCCATCAACCTCCTTCCTCAGCATTCAGATGTTAAACACAAAAAAAATATAGTCAGGTAATTAATTGTAACCCAGTAACCCTCAAGTCAAAAATCACATCTTAAGATTGATGAGTTTTATAGCTATAAGTGAAAGACAGTTTTGACATTTTAGTATGATCTATATTTTAGCTGAGTTCAATATGAAGTTTCACTATAGAAATATACAAATATGTAGTTACTTATTCATTTTAAGCAAATCTTTTTTTAATGGTTGATTAATCTTGGAAATAGGCCAGTTTTACAAATGGGAATTCCATAATATTAAGCAAACCAAATAAAGACTTTTTTCCAAAATACACTGTGAACCAATTTTTAATAAATGAATGCTTTATCTTTGAGTCTTAAAAATGCATTCACGGACATTAAGCCACATAAAATAAATGTTAATACCTTCATAGGTATAGTATATAAGAGATATTAATTAGTCCCAGCAAATTAATGGATGGAAATAATTTTTTAATATAAAACATTCTGCATTTTCTTAGGAATGAAACTGCAAGCAATCGCAGTTTAACCCTTTAAAATGCATGTAAGGAAGTTTTTGATCTTTGGAGAGGAAATTGGATGCAGTTCGTGGTTCTGACTTAATTGGACAGCAGCATGTAGAGAATGCTGAGGAAATAATAGAGCCATATCTGACAGAAAATGTGTTAAAGTGTAAATATTTAAAGGAAATTAATTATAGATATACAGTAGAGAAATCTGTAAGTTTATGACAATAGTTTGATTTTCATATCCTATATTTATATTAAGTCAGTGGGTTTTCATACAGATTTTAATTTTAGTTTAAATTCTTTTTCCTTAAAATTGGTGAAATAAATAAATAATAAATGAATGAATAATAAAACACATTTCTTTTTTATAACTTTCCCTCTGTAGCAATTCTAGATCACTGGTAGCCTTTGTGCCATAATAGTCCCATTTGTTTTTTGTATTTTTTCAGATCTAATCAAACTCTAAATAATTTAAAATAGTAACCAAATATGCAAATTTCTGGCTCATTATTGAATGTCAAATCTGACAACCATGCTCTAGTCTTTCTGCACAACCATGGACTTTAGGCAAACTACCTTGATGGAACCCCTACTTTACTCATTGCAACTCCTTACCTGACCTTCCCTGGCATATGAGTTGGCAACCACTGAGGGTTTACAGAAAGTCTACATAATAAAATCCGTAACATCCAGATTTGAATGGAGAGTTCTACCTAAAGCTTTAAATTACTTTGATAAATTTAAATTTTTTTATTAAATTGCCTTGTGATATATACACATAATTTTTATACAACTGTTTCACATTGTCAAAGAATATCTATTTTTAAATCTTCCCTGCAGCATTAAACTTTAATTTGCACACATGAAACAGATGATCTTTAAAATGGCTTATGACCACATAAATACTTCAGCATAATGTAGTTCATATTTGGAGATTTCTCATATTTGTTCAATATGATTCTTTTTGTTTTTTTATTCATACTACTAAGAAAATGTCTATAGTCAAGATATATCCTGGAACAGTCCTCTGCATAGTGTAGTAATTACCATAAGTGGACACTCCCAATAAATAATGTTAAAGTTGTGTGAAGCCTTCAGATGCTATCTGTGACAATGCTAATGGAGTATACATTGAAGAAAACATTTTAGCTTTGATTTTGAGTGATTAAATAAATGTCTTTTCATTCATGTTTTGTCATCCCCATTATGCATATCCTATGTATTTAATTTTGATCATTTGAAGATTTAAAAGAAAGAGCTATAATTCTGCAAATTCAATTAATTTTTCTCTCTGCTGTCCACATGCCAGAGATAATAGCAGAATCCTTAGACTTGTCCCACTTTGTTGTTGACACCCTCTTTTCCTCTGTTTTCACAGGCCATTTCTCATTTAATCTAGGCACATCTTTTCATCCCCTCCTATGACCCGTTGAAAATACTTTTAAAAAGAGATGATAAATTTTATAGTTCTTTAAATACTCAATTGATGATTTCTAAAAAATAGTAATGCTTAATTTCATTAAAATATTTAAATACATAATATCAGAAACATTGTTTTAAGGAAATTCTCATTATTAGTCTTTTTCTCTTATATGTAAATGGGAAATACTTAATACCTCTGCTTTTATTAAAAATAATATAAAGACAAAAGATGATTTTAAGTGGTGCTTTTCATCCTTTCTGACCACTGGAACTTGTCACTTTAACTTCAGGCACATCTATCTCATTGCCACCTCTACGGTTCCCCTGCAGGAGAGGTCATAGCAAAAGTCTAGTTAGTTGCAAAGGAAAGGGAAAGATACCACAGTGTTAGGTAAATACAATCGAGAGGGCAATTATGCTAACATATGATTTAATCTACTAATAATACTGTCACTATATTACCATTGATGGTATGGGGTTGGAAAGGAACATTGGGAGCAGTAGACATTTTGTCACCCTCTGTTGGCCTTTTTCAGTGAGTTAAACTTTGATATATATGTGTTACCAGTTATTTTGTGTAGTTTGTAGAATCATTTTTTGTTGGTTGTATAATTTGGAAGTTTTGTTTACATTATGTCCTTAGGGGTTTTCTTTGTTTTAACAGCATGCAGCTTGACAGAAATACACTACCCAAAAAGGGACTAAGGTATATATTTATCTCAGCACAATTGCTTCCTTTTTCTGTTGTTATGTTAACTTTGTGTGTTGTCTCTCTTCCTCTCTATTTCTTTGTTTGCAATGTAGCACCTGACATTGAGGGTGAAATCACTTGTAATGTCAATCTTTTCTCTGGTCCAGAGAGTGGGTGAGATGGCCCTTAGGAAGAGATACTAGTAGAGATTGAGATGGTGCCTCAAAGTAATTTCAGTATAATTACCACTATTTTGAAGTAATAAGAGTTCTCAAAGCACTTGTCCCAAGTCTTGGTTTTGGTGGGCAGCAACTTTTATAGAATGAAGAACTTAACTCCTCCAAATATTTATAAAATGACTTTCCTAACTTCTACATCTTGGAGGCATATGCTTGCAAAACCTCAAAACCCATCTAGTCTGCACATGTGGCCAGTAATGATGAAAGGTTGAAGGATGCTGTAATTTGAATCAAAGAAAATGTATTTTCATCATCACAGAACAAGTACTACAATGAAGGTATCGATTTTTGGATAAAACCTCAAAAGTCTTAATTTCAATTTTTCCCAGGTTCAGATACGTTTAAATCTGAATTAATTCAATACAATTTAAGAATCTCAAAATAATTATTCAGTTCATAATAAAAATTAAAGTTAAATTTTAATTCATTGCCATATTTTACTGCATACAGTTTCCTGAGGAGGAGACATAGAATAAACTAGTAGTGGAGGTGTAGAACTATGAGCAGGATAAATCAATTGCTCTTTGGTGCTAAGAATTTAATTACTCTGGTGAAACAGTGAGTACTGGCCAAACTAGGTCTTCCCCATTATGTTTTTTCTCTCAAATTTGTTAGCAATAGCAAATGCCTGTCAATATCGTATTTCAATATTATGTTCTAGAAATTTATTTTCCAATAAAGTGAGCACATTTCTTTCCTTCCTTTTTAATCCAGACATGATATCAAGTGGCATTTTAACCAAATAACTACTACTCCTTTTTTTAAAAAAAAATGGGCATTAGTTTGTGTCCCATTTCATGCCTTTCTGTGACCATCACTTCCCTTCCCTTGCTTCTGCCTACCACTGTCCACCATTTTTAGTCTGTGTCTTCACCCTCTCACATCCTTCTAAGCACTGCGCTTTTGGGTTCTCCTCAGTTAACTTGGCTGTCTGCTCATTGATTTTCAACTTCATATCTCACAGAAGCATAATTTTCTTCTCAAATGCCTTTATTTTTTTTCCTGTGGGATTCAAAACAGATGGTGTCAAATCATCTGGAAGAATTGAGCAATTCTAATTAGATCCAATCTGTTTGAGATTGTTGTTCAGTCTGAATAGTAAGCTCCTCTCAATTGTTTTCCTGTCCTGGTATTGCCTTGCCCTTGTAGATGTGCTGAAGTATCTTAGCTGTGCTGTTTTGCAGATATACCCCATCATCTCGGCAGGCCAACCAAGAAGAAGGCAAAGAGTGGCTGCGTTCTCATTCCACCGGAGGGCTGCAGGATACTGGCAACCAGTCACCTCTGGTCTCCCCTTCTGCCATGTCATCTTCTGCTACAGGAAAATACCACTTTTCTAACTTGGGTAAAATATTCTACCACATAACTGTGTTTTGTTCCTCTTATGATTCACTCTCACAGGAGCCCTGGTATCTCTCCATAAAAAAAAATTATTTGCATGGTAATGGTAATTTACTGTTCCCAGACTATGTCATTTATTGTTCATGACAAATGCTTTGAATGGATAATACTGTTGTGATTTAGCAGCCTATGCTCCAGAGGCTCAGAGAGGTAATTTGACTTGAAAACAGTTCCACTATTAGTAAGAGGCAGAGGCAGGCATCAGTCCCAGAACCTGGCCTCTGTGGGAATATAGCTCAGGTGGTAGAATGCTTTTCTTGCATGCACAAGGCCCTGGGTTCAATTCCCAGCACCATAAAAAAAAAAAAACACTCTAGAACCTGGCCTCAAACCCAAGTACCTTTCCATTGTGTCTTAGAATCCTCTTTAAAACCATTATTAAAACATTTCCTTATTTTTGTTTAAAATGTTAAAAATCCTTATAAAAAGATAATAGTTTTATGGAGAAATAGAAAAATAGAAATAATTAAGGAGAAAAAATATATAATCACATGACTGAAAGATAACTTCTATGAACATTTTCAAAGTTCATTTTGCAAAGACATCATAGAAAACACAGGAAAGAGTGACAAAACAAATAAGTTGAAATAACACCAGTTATCATTTAATAGATCCAGTGACTTTAAAAATGTATTTCTTTTACAAAGTTAAATATGAAGTAGTCACACTGTTTGTTCTCTTTTCAATTGAAATTTTTTTTTTCTAATCATGTCCACGTACATAGTCCACATTCTTCAATAATTTTGACTTTTCAACTTTTCAGCCCAGTCAGAACTAAAGCCTGTTTCATTTCTAATTCTTCTCACTATACCAAATAGGTATTTTAACAATGAAAAGAAATTATTTGGTACTGATTTCATTTGGGCTAATGAATTCTTAACAACACCAAGTTTTGGTTGCTAAATCTACACAGCAATGAGATTTTTTTTTTTTGCCTTATACTGTCAAACATTTGAATAATTGTTATAAAACATAGCAAATGTAAAAAGAAAATACAAAAACCTAACATGTTAACTCTAAAAAAATTAAAAATATTGAAAAATATTTTTGTAGGGACCTTGAAATATGAAACAAAATCTAATTTCATAGAATATCTAAAACAATCCCAAATCAACCCAAATGCTATAGACTTACTTAGTACCTTATATCCCCTATCAACTTTTTCATTGATTAACATTAATTTGATTAGTTGACTATTCATCATTTTCCCCACTATTATTATTATTGTTAAATTCATTTCTTCCATTATTTTCTAAAGAAATAAAAAACTTACAATATATGCCTGAACTTTGTCTACATTTAATTAGGTATAATTCACAAAATAGCAACTGCACAATTTAATGTGAAGGAGATTCACAGTTTAGGTTTTAGAGAGACTCATGTACAACTATGACATTTGAATCAATGTCTTACCAAAAATGTCAAATATTTGCACAAAGATAAGTTTATTCCAAATTGAACTTAACATGTCGGCTAAAGCCAATATTTTTAAACAAATGTGATAAAAATTGATGTATGACACACTTGAGAATACTTTTCATTACATAGTGTTCAAAGATTTAAAGCATAATATGAAATGTAAATTATACTTTTACTGATTGATAACAGACCCTTTTGATAGAACTTTAATGCCTTATTTTGAAAACTACTTATCAAATATGTCCCTTATTTTTTATTGCTGTAGAAACCAAGCTTACCTTCTTGATTCTCCTAATACTTTTCCAACTATAATTCTCTTTCTGCAAGGGCTCATCTTAATGCGGTTTTATCATTTTAGTAAAAACTAGGTTACTTTTGAAAGTGAAAACGACTATGTTAATCATTGTTCCAGGCTTTAAGCATAAACCCTGCCCAATGTACTTCATCCACATTTACTCCTCATCTTTATGTAATTACAGAGTTTTTTATTTAGACATCTTTCTCATCCTAAACACAATTTCTATGTCCTCATCCACAACTTTAATTTTTACCCTTTCAATCAACATTTCTTTCACTTCCAGATCTTTTTGAGCTTTAAAATTAAACCGCATCCATGTCCTAGGCTATGTAGCTACATCCACCCTGCCGTAAGCTCTCTTTTTTTCACGCTTCTTCAACTCCTTTAGTGCAAAATCTCAGTGTAATCGACAGGTTTATTCAAAACAACACCATCCACCCTTCATATTGTACACTTTTCAGTAGACCAAAACTTATAATTTTTATTTTTAAAAATTTGAAAGTACTATATTCCTCTCTCTTTGGTGGCATTACTCTTGCTGAAACTTTAACCCTGGACAGTTTCAGTGAATTTCAAAATGATCTTACTGCCTCTTCTCTCCTATCCCTCAACATTTTCACCCATTGAGATATATGGAAGAAGACCTTCCTATCCATGTCAGTGCATTCCCCAGGGCTTATTAACATTTTATAAGCATATGTGGCTTCAGATTAGGTATTCCCTGTTCTCTATGCTGGCAAATTACAAAGGAAAAAATAAAGCTAATTCTCAAAACATGAAAATAACAACTTTTGATGATATTTCCAGATCACCTGAACTTCTATTTATTTGGCAAAAATATGGGTTACTATTAAAATGTAACCATAAATTAAAGTTACTTTATTATTAAATTCTTAAAACTACATAAAATTTAACTATTGAACTTGAATAGGTATAGTATTTCCTGCAGCTACTTTTGACATCACCTGTTTTCAGTGAGATCATTATCTTTTCTGAATGATCTGTAATATACATGATTATAACTAACATTCAAGAGTTGGAATACTCTTATTTTGAAAAATGTGTTAGTATATAAAGGTTTTTATAAATATTACTATAAAAATCACATATAAGAAATTATTAGAAATTTAAGAACACTGAATTTATGTCATTGTCAGTAGATTACTATGAGCTACAGCTAAAGTAAACTATGGTTTGTGTGTAGTTCCTTACATGCTAGGTTTAACAGCATCTACTTCCACTCAAGAAGTAATATCAGATATAACTTATGTAAACAAAATAAGTCTGGGGATGAAACAGCATTTTGAATTGTTCACAGTTATTATGAGGTATCTCATAACCTGGTGAATGGTGACATGCCCATGAGTGATGAGAATCGCTTAGATTCATTGTTCACCTTGCTGCAAGGGTTACCATGCAGAAGCATTGATATCAGCCTGTCACTTCCCAGTTCTATATATTAGATGATTTCTTTGCACACAAAGTAATTGTTAAGCACCTTGTATCGGAGCAGATTCTGTGCTTTTGCTCTCAAGGGTTACTTCACCTTATAACACTCCTCTGTTACCCTCTCCGAAAATGCCCTTCACCCCATTCCAAATGAACTGTTTCTTTTATATTTATGTAAGTACAGAAGCTCACCATTGAGACACACATCTGGTTCAGTCATTCATTTAATATGTACATTTTCATGACATCTCTAGCTTCTGCTCTAAACTCACCAATGACAGAAACTGTGTGAATCTAGAAATATTTTTGATATACTTACTTTAAAAGATCACATAAAAATTTCCCGAATCTTCAATTACTGGTCTTAGTTGTACATCCAGATTTCACAAACTAAGTTAAAATTATAATCCATATGACATCACTTTTCTCATTTAAAACAATATCAAAAACTCATTGGTAAATGTCTAGCAAAGGTACTTGGAGGTATTTTCTGTCCCTATTCTCCACAAATCACCACAAATAAATACATAATTTTAATAAAAGCTATGACTACACATTCAATTTAAGACAGGCCAGTAGACTCCTTTTCCCTTACATACATCTACATCTATTTTTCTCCTATTTGGGAAGTTTTATGTGTCTTCTGGCTTTGAATGAATCTTAGAAGCCACTTATTCTACCTTTATTTTATTTATTTATTAATGAAGAAACTGAAAGGTTGAGATGGGGATATTTGAAGTGGATAGAAAGTATAACAACTACAATCCCTTTACCACTTTCTGTCCCATTTACAAAAATTCTCTTTTTCTTTGTTACTTTTGCCTTCTGTTATGTAACTCTTCTTGGTATATTTTGCATATGAACTTTCTACCTTTCAGTCACCTTCCCTATTGGCTGCTCTTGAAATCAGGGACCATATCATATTTTATCTTTCTATTCAAATTTAGCATGAAAACAAAATAAAGAAGGGCTTCCCATGATATTACCTTAAATGAATATTCTTAAATACTATGAGTATATTTTCAGTAGAAACATTATCAAAAGTCTTTGTAAATCCAATTATGCCCTTTAAAGACCACTATAAGCCCCATTAATGAGTCACTTTGAATGAGTAATGCATTATGTTTTGAAATGATCCAGATATATGTGATGATCCAAGCTATATATCTACCTTGATATAGAAATAAAGTCAGCATACCATAGAGGGAGCTGAACATCCATGCTGCCAAGTTATGGAAACCTGTGTCCACCAACAAATGAATGGATAAAGAAACATGGTCCATATATACAATGGAGTCATTCATTTGATGGAAAATGGATGGAACTAGAGATGGTCATGTTAGGTGAAATAAGCCCAAACTAGAAAGACAAGCTATCACAAGTTTCCTCTCATATAGAATTTGGAGGGGAAAAAAACAAGATGAATACTGGAGGAAGAGAATTAGTGGAGAGGAATGGAGTGGGGAAGGAGGGACATTAAGATGGGTAATGGGGATGAAAATGCTCAAAATGCTTTTTGCATGTATGAATGTACCATAATTAAACCCACCATTCTGTGTAATTAATATGCATTAATGAAAAATCAGTAATAGAAAAATTCTCAAAAATAGCATGTCTTCAGAATTAAAAAACATCATGTAAAAAATAGAAAAGGAAGACACTTCTCTTGGATACCTCTGTAATCATTTTGGTAACAATTATACAAAGCCGAACTGTGAACAAAATGGCCTTCTAGCCTCTAGATACATATATTAAAGTAATGCATTTGTAGATAAGTTGAAAGCATTCATTTCACAAGCGTTAATTCATAATGTATGTAGTCCCACCGTAGAGTGATTTACACAAATCCAGGTACCTTAAACATTAACATTCATCCCAGTGACTCTGGAGGCTGAGACAGGAGGATCTTGAGTTCAAAGCCAGCCTCAGCAATGGTGAGGCACTATGCAACTCAGTGAGACCCTGTCTCTAAATAAAATACAAAAATAGGCTAGGGATGTGGCTCAGTGGTCAAGTACCCCTGAGTTCAATCCAGGGTACACCACTCTGCCAAAAAAAAAAAAAAAAAGTTAACATTCAAATTTCGAATGTCCTAGTGCCTGTTAACTGTGACCATACTGAACTAGAACTCATGTCTAAAGGAATATACCCGAAAATAGGTCTGTTCTCTTGTTCTTTCTTTTCCTCTCTCTCCCTCAATCTTCCTCCTTCTCCATTTCCATTCCTTCTTCCTTCTAATATATTATAAATTTTAGAAATACATAGTTTCTTCTTTATTATGTTTTTCACATGCACACATAGATTTCATTCATTGTCCTGTGTTTTTTTTTTTTTACTTTAATTCATGCTATCTCTATCAGAGGGTTAGTCTGTGTGATGATTCAGTTAATGACTATGAAATGTCTAGCACAGTACCTGGAATACAGGAGGTATACCCCTTGAATTACTTCCGGGAACACTCTTCCAATTTTACCTTATTGTGAGAGCCATTAATTATATTAAGAAGTATAAAGCCTGCATGAAAGAAGAAAATATAGGAAGTTCTGAAATACCAGATCAACTCCAAGGCTTTGGCATGCATTTTCCAAGGTTCTGAGAGGACTCAGCTGTTTCCTTCATAGCTTAAGAAGTTCAGAAGTTTCCTCATATATCAGTAATAAACTTTCTTTTCTTTAAAAAAAAAGTTTCTCAATTTGTCTGCTACAATTTTATTCCATATTTCAAAACTGTATTTCAAATGTCCCATACATTAAATCAATCACATCTTTCTTTAAATTAATGATTCTCATTTGGCCTAAATTGTTGAAAACCACTAGCACCAGATGGCAACAAGCCATTGAAAATAAATTCTTAAATAAATATTTTCTATTGAAAATAAATTCTTATTTATAAGAAATAAACTTCTTACATTACAGACTTAAGATACTTCCTTGGAAACAAAATCTGTTTGTGATTTTTGAGAGTCTCATTGTGGTATTCTCTTCTTAGACTCAGTAGAAAATAGGTTTTCTATGATTCACATTATGACAGGTTTACAGATACCATGTACATTACATTATATTTGATATAAAGGAAAAGTTTATTTTATTCATCCTCTTTATAACCTAATTTTCATAATAATGGAAGTACCAACCATGAACTTACATAAATTCACAACTCAGAATGACTGAAAGAAAGCCTTTGCCTAGAAGTATCTAAAATTTCTTCTTGGTAAATTTATATTTTTTTATATTTTACTTTCTTTTCTATTTTGCTTTTCCCAGTAAATTGGTGGTTTTTCTCTAAAATGAAGCCTGTAGACTGTAGAAAAACAATCTTTTTTTTTCATAACTGTGTGCAGAAAATAGCATGTTACTGTATTTCTAGTGTGGACAGTATAGGTGAGTTGGTGGTTTTGTTTACTGTTGCCTGACAAACTGACATACTGCTTGCCATAAAATTTCCAGAGGAAAAGAGGGACTCTGGTGATAGTGATTGGCAATTCAGAGACAGACTCTTGGCCTGCTTTAATAGGGACACCCTATAAATTCATGTTTCTCTAAGAATTGGGATGAATTCTCACTTTTTTTTTCAACTTTCTATTTTCATCAGTCAAGCCCTGGAGTAACAGACTGCATATGCTTTCTTTTTCAGTGAGTCCAACCAATCTGTCTCAGTTTAACCTCCCTGGGCCTAGCATGATGCGCTCCAACAGCATCCCAGCCCAGGACTCTTCCTTTGATCTCTATGATGACTCCCAGCTTTGTGGGAGCGCCACTTCTCTGGAGGAAAGGCCACGGGCCATCAGTCATTCAGGATCATTCAGAGACAGCATGGAAGAAGGTAAGCTTAGGGATAGGGAAGATGAAGATAATACTTTTACTTAACTGTCAGAGGAAAAACTGTCCCATTGCCCACAGTACAAAGATTCCTGAAGAAGAAGTAAATGAGTAAGTGGAAGCCTCACTTAAACCCTAGAGCTGAAAGTTTTATTCTGCAGGATCTTCTCTGCATTATGAATTTTTATATATGCCAAAATTTGTTTAGATGAATACTTGGCTGTAAAACAATTTACAATAAATCCAATGTTCTCTTATAGACATATGCAAAATTTTAGAGACTGTTACCCAGATGTGTCAAATATTAGAGCAAATATTTTGTTTGACATCTCAGTTTACAAGCCATAAAGATACACAAGCCAGAATAATTATCTTACAGACTATCACATGTTGTTGACTTTTATTCTCAGAAACTTCCTCTGGTGTTAGTATTTTACCATTTCATTTTAGAATTCCTACTGTACTATATTTGCTTTATAACAGTTTTTTTTCTTTTACCAATTGGCAATAAAATTCACACTATCCTAAAACATGTCTTTTTAGCTATATGTATTATGTGATACTCCCTGTAAATCTTTTAAAACTCAATAAGCATAATAGCTATTTAAGTGTATATATTTTCCTAAACTGTATGACCTCAAAAACCAAACTTAATAATATGAGAGATGTGTTTCTTTTATTTAATGAATGATTTTTAAATTATCTATAAATTAAACATGTGAGATACATATTATATCAGCTATGGTTAAAAGAAAACCAAATATAGAAATCCAAACTGATAAGAATGAAAGCAACCATCCTCATCTTAATAGTTATGCATAAAAGGAAAACTTCAGTCTCGAAACATAGCAAGGTTTAAACATCTAACCATCAATTTATTTATTGTTTGAATTGGGCTAATTTCTTAACTTCATTAGTCCTAATTTCTGCTTCCGTAATTCTGTCCCAGGGAATTTCTTATTTAAAACATCTTCTGACTAAAGTTTTAGGCGGTTAAGTGAATTGTCTTATATTTTTCAGGTCATCATTGTACATTTAATATGCTGGCACTAAATCAGTTAACAATATTTACATCTACCTTTTAGGATATTAACCAAACTACTGAGTTCACTGTGGCAAACAGTGAATTATATATACCCTGGTGAATCAGCTGATTCTACTGTGTAGTAGACGAACTATAAGTAATCTGACCTGTAAGGACATTATTTCTCTGAAATGGATATGTCATTCTGTCACATATAGACCTTTCATAATACTTTAAAAACAATTTGCTTAGCATACAGTTCATGTCCTAGAGTGCCTCACTTACAAATAGAATGATGTTTTTATGCTGGGAAATTCCAGCCTTGCATTAGGAAGCTTAATTGAATTGCTAAAAGCCAGCTTGAGTAGGTGAGATGGATTTTTGATACTCATGCACTGGACACTGAACTATTATTATTATTTGATTGTGATCTAGAATTAATGAATTATTGAACTAGAAGAGAAGTTTTTTATTAACATCTTGCCCAGTGTGCATGCTAACAGATGAAGAGACTAAGCTATAAACTATAAGGTCACACACCTATAAATAATACGTGCATAATTTCCTAACTCATTGTCCATCTTCCTTCTGATACACCAGGCCAGTACTCTTAGTTTGTAAATGAGTCATGTAAATGAATCAGAAGTTGAAAGAATGTGCTTTGAAAAAGAATAATTGATTTAAAGACTAATATTTTGTATATCTCATAGAATGATAATATTACCCAAGTTAGAATTCTGGTGGTGTTCTGTATTCTTCTTTTGACTCACTTTATATATTTTTAATTCACTTCCTATGAATTCTTATAGTACCAAAGCATTGATAGTAATAACACTTATGTTGCTCTGTTGTGATTATTTTTAATGTTTTCTTTCTAATTCTAATTTCTAATTCTCTTCTTCATTTTGTAGTCCCAAGATCTAGCAAGGGCCTGTCACACTGTGTGTGCTCAACTAATGTTTATTTAAGAAATAAGTTAGAAGAAATAACTACATTATCCCATCATAAAAAGGGGATTTTTGCAAATCATATTAAGTTCAATTTTATCCACCTTTTGGATTTAATACATTGGAAGTACAAAAGACAAAAGTAGACTTTGATTGTTTAAGATGGCATTTTGATAAATAAAAAACAGCATATAATTTCCATTCTTATTTTTTATGCAATACCACCTTAAAATAAGAAAGTATTTATATATAACTAAAAATTTTTTAAAAAAACATTATTCTAAATTTAAAAAACATAGATCAATTTATTATAACTGACTATTGAAATAGCTACTTGGAAAAAAATGCTTATACACCTGAAAGTATATAAAGAAAATTTCTGAAAATGGATCTTTGTTGGATAAAATGAAATTAAATGAATAAACACAAAGTATTTTTAAAAATTTTAAAAGCTTATGAAAATTTTTTTTTAGTTTTATGATTTTCTATTTACTATATGAGAATTTATACTTTTCATATTGTGTAAAACATGCTTTTAATGCTCATGCTTGTCCACTTCTATCTATAAATTGGTGAATGAGATACTTTAGGGAAGAGTATGGGATCTTTTCATGTCTCAACATCTTGACTTCCAAAAAATCATTACAGACTATGTTGGTCTGTTTTTCACACTGTGACCAAACTGCCTGACAATAACTCATGGGCTCACAGTTTCAAAGATTCAGTCCATAATCAGCCAACCCCATTGCTCTGAACCTAAGGCAAGGTAGAACATCATAGCAGAAGGGCATGATGGAGGAAAGCTTCTCAGATCATGGCAGCTAGGAAGCAGAGTGTGGGGCAGGAAGGAGCCAGAGACAGATAAAGTCCAAGGTCATGCCCCCAGTGACCTACTTCCTCCAACCAAGCCCTACTTGCCTACAATTACCACCCAGTGGTCCATTCAGATTAGTAATGCATTAAGGGGCTTAATCTACTGAAAATTATAGCTCTCATAATCTCATCTTTTCATCTCTGAGCATTATTATATTGCCTAACATACAAACTCATAGGGGAATATTTTAGATCCAAATCATATACAAACTTATTCTCAGAATCTTACAGCTAGCTGTTAATGTTATTTCCCTAGCCACCTGTCCTTTACTTTTTTAGTTAAGGCCTAGGGTTTATGAGTAGACATGAGTATTTTAATTCTGTTGTTCTTGTTTTCTCTAGTTCATGGCTCTTCGTTATCATTGGTTTCCAGCACTTCTTCTCTTTACTCTACAGTAAGTATTAAATGAGAATAAAAAGCTTCTGCCTGTACCATGCATAGATGATTAAGTAGATTGACATTTACACAGAAGTGGTGTGGCCACATAAAGGCATACTCTAAGCCACTCTATATCCGTTAAGCTGGCAAGTACTCCATCAATCCCTCTGTGACCCACTAGTATATATTTTCACTTGATTCATTATAATCAATGAGTGGATGTAAAACTGAATTTCATACAGTCCTTTGGGGTATGACAGGGAGTCCCTGAAACCATGAACTATGATTTATCATATTTTCATAATGTTTGTTTTCCTTTGTTTGATTCTCTGACTCATGAATTAATTGTTCTATGGTATTTTTTCAACTTTTTTTATTTTAAGTTCATTTTTTATAAAGACTGTTCTGAAAGAACTAGAGATTTTTTTTTAAATATGATTTAAAAGAATTTTTTTAAAAAATATTTTTGCTGCTAAGGATCCAACCCAGGTCCTCCTGCATGGGAAACACACACTTTCCCCTTGAACTGTGCCCCAAGCCAAAAAAAACTGTTTCTTAGAAGAGGAAAGCCAGTGTTTCAAATTCTTTTCCCAGTGTGTGAAATTATAGTTCACTTTTGCCAAAATGAGTTTTCTGTCCATTAAATATAATTTTATCTTTAAAAAAGCCTACAGGAAGTTATGTTTTATAAGAAGCTTCCTTTATGCCCTGGTTACAGGCAGGATATTAAAGCAGTTTCCTAAGTCTCTATGAGACTTGAGTGCTATGAGTAATTCTTAATCCTGTGTTGAAAGGTTTACAAAAGTCTGTAGCCTTTGACTCCCACTGAGCAATTAAGTGTTAAGGACAATATGGATTTTTTCACTTATTTTCATTAGGCTTAAATGTTAAAGCCTTTTGTTTGCAAATTAATCATGCATATTTATTGCTTTAAAAAAAGACATTCACAATCATCCATCAATGTAGACATTATTTTTCTTATTTCTCCTTTTAATGATTAAAATTGCCATTAAGTTCTATAAAGGAAGATATGTAGACTAATGAATAAAGAAATAATAAATGTAAAAGTATATTTAAAAAACACATTAAATATGTTAAGATTGTATTTCTCCTGTTGATCTAATATTGTTACTCATTTATGATATGTATTATGACTTAAATCACTATAATTTCAATCTCTATATAACAGCAAAAGATGGAGCATAGTTGTAATCATAATTTAAATAAATGCAATAACAATATGTGGATAAAACTTCCTTTATGAAGCTGAGAAAGAAGAAAAAGAGCATGTGTTTAAGGAACAAGAGATAATGCATTAGTCCACATTCCACTAATTAGACCAGAGTCCACTAAAATTTTCTGGGATATTAAAAATGTCCCCATCTGCACTGGCTAATACTAGCAGTAGGTTGCTATTGGTTATTTTAAATGTGTCTAGTGTGTGTGACCGAGGAACTGTATTGTTTATTTTAATTAATCTAAATTTAAATAGGTACGTAAACCTGGTGACTGAGATTAAATAGTTCAAGTTTATAGGGAGCAAAGGGGATAAATTTAAAAATTAAAGAAGGATGAATAAAGGGAGGTTGGTTGGACCAGTGCACAGTGTATTTATGTGTGGAAATATCACACTGAAACCAATTAATGTGTAAAATTAATATACGTTGAACAAAAATGAAAAATAATAAATGTTTTTAAATATAGAAAAATAGGAGTAGGATGTCTAAATCATGAAAACAATTAGGAAGTATTGGTGAAAAGTACTGTATTAAAAATATAATGTGAACAGGAACAGACGTTAAAATAAAGAGCCTATACTTAACATTTAAGTATTAAGGACAATAGGGATTTTTTCACTTATTTTCTTTAAGCTTAAATGTTAAAGTGTTTTGAACATTCAGAACTGAAGTAGACCCTGTGTTTAGCATAAAATGAATGAGTTAGATGATCAAGCTATGAGACAAAGTGATATTATTAGTCAGTTATTAAATTAGCTGTATTGGAAATGATGGAAATTTAAAATGTATTAGAAATGATGGAACCTACATATTTAAAATGACTATAGTGAAATAATTCAAAAATGCATATTTGAGGGCAATTCAGGTTGGGGAGGCAGAATAAGGAGGAGTCACTCTCTTTCCATTCCCCACAATCATGCACTAGGATTAAACTGGCATTAAAATATCTGTGGAAGTGTTTTTCAAACCATGAAATGAAACAGCAATTAATTACTATTATTCACACCTTCATAAGTTTTTGGATAAAGATTTAGTTGATTTGTCTTCTTATCTGGTTCGATCAGTAATTACTATGTGGCATCAGGCAAGTTGCCCAATTTCTTTGGATTACACCTATAAAATAAAATTTGAAAACATCAGCCAAATCTACTCCATCTGTCCCATGGGATTTCTGCAAACTGTTTAGAAATCACAGACCCAATCTGATCTGCCAAGGAGTTTGGAAACTTTAGAGTTTATGTTTGTTTTTAAATCTAAGCCAGCACTGTGAAATCTGGAACATTCCCCCTAAAATCCACACTTGAAAATCCTTTTCCAAATAACTGGAATATCTAGCAACACATCCTCCATGTTTCTAGTAGTCACCTTGGGTGGTGGCACATGCTCTCAGGCAAGCCACAACCTCCAATACCTCCTCTTCTTGACACTCAAGCTAAGTTTGGGTTGCTAGTTGTCATTGTGCTGTTGCATTATCCATAGGAGAGAAATGCTCCTCACTTTCTATATCTCTATTAGAAAGTGGAAAATAAAAGATAACCTAGGAAGGTTGTGTTATTTCTTAAAAAATATTTAGAACCTCTTTTCATTCTCTATTATGTATGTATGTGTGTAGTATATATACATACACACATACAAACAGCTATCCATCCATCCTGTTAGGTATTTAAATTCATGATCCATGAGAAGATGATTTTTGATTGATATTATATTAGATCTTTATTGGAGCTGTTAGTTTTTTATTTACTGTATATTAAATTTTTACTGGAGCCATTCTGCACTTGGATTCAAATTTATACTTTTTTCATGAGAACAAGGATCCTGTTTGATTCCTTGAATAGCTCCTTAGCCTGTTACCTAACACATGGATAACACTGAAGTGGTTTCCATAAGTTTGAATGGATAAATAAATGGCCATATAATGGCTTACAGAATAAAGAGTCAACAGATATATTTTAATTTAGGCAAGGTGTTTTATGTTGTTTACCATCCTTAAGGACATTAGTCTTGCATCAGAACCATCAGTAAAATGTGGTAAGTAATCAAATTCCATCATGGTATCATTAATCCCACTCCTAAACCACTGAAAAAATATAATATTAAGATTCTAGCTCATACCTTCAACTTGAGGGTCATACCTACCCACTATTAATAACCATAGAGTGTGAAAGAGGGCAAGGATTAACAAAAATGATAGCTTTGAGAAATCAACAGTGAGAAAAGTCATGCCCTGCAGTGTATGTAGAATTAATAATGGTTATGCTTACTTTTAACATATGCAACTTTGGGGTATTTTAATAAAAATGTGATGAGCATGTTTCTTACATTTTATTTTTTTACATAGCTCTTGACATATCATATTTCATACATTTGATTCAAGTGGGTTATCAACTCCCATTTTTACCCCGTATACAAAAACGTGGATGTGTAACCGATGTAATTCTGCAATCTGTTTCTTATATTTTAAATGAAATATATCTATTTCTTCCAATACATGAGATAGTTACAAACCTTTACCAGTTTTATATAATTCTAACAAACCTAAAAACAATATAAACAAACTAACAAGAAACATATAACATACTAGGGAAAATTAAGTCAGTTTTAATTGTGCTGTGTGCTTAAAGCAATGAAACACTTAAATTAAGATTCCTTGCTTAATTTTAATTCCAAAACCAAACTGTATATGAAGCCTTGAAATTATTAGAATTAAAAACTATCTTCACTTAAAATGCTGAACATGGGATGTAAAACGAAGGTTTATGTCACTGTTGCTTTTCAAACAGTGTTTTCTTATAAAGGCTATTATGATTCTATAGGTTAGCCACTTTATCACTTTATTATTTTATCACTTGACATTTTTTAAAGGTGGAGAAAATGCAGGAAAGACAAAACTCAGGTTAAAAGAGATCTTTATGCATGAAATGTATCCTGAGAGTTATTGTTTTGTTTATTTTTATTATCTGGAGGAAAAGAATAATAAAACTTAAGAAGTTTTTGTATTGATTAATCAGGAAATACCCAAAAATAGAAATAGTAGCAAAAAATTATTTTTCAGCTTTGTTTTTGCTTACAGTAATGAACAGACTTACTGTTCAGGGATATTATGCATTCTCCAGCCTTTTCTAGATTGAGAAAGCTTTACCAATGTAATGGTGCACATAACTCATTTTCTGGTATTTTGCAGCCCAGCATGAAGGGGGGAAAAAAGCAGAGCTAGGAATTTTCTGTACTGAGATCAAAAACACCCTGCAAGTTCCTACAGAAGCACAACCAAAGATACTTTTATTGCCACCTTATCACTGAATGCTTTAGTGTCTTGATGACTTGCAGCCCAATAAGTTTAATTAAGGATTATTAGGGAAAATAAAAAATAGAAATGAATAAACTTTATTTGCTGTGATTATCAGTAGAGGTCAGCATTTTCCCCCAACATTATTTGATATTCTTTATGATCTGTAAGTCACAGAACAAAATTCTTACTCCTAAATCTTTTCTAAGGCTCTGTATAATTTAATGGAGTCCATTTTTTAAAATATGTATGAAAAAAACAATATTACATTTTTATATGTACCCATCTTTTTAAAATATTTTTTTAATTGTAGTTGAACATAATACCTTTATTTTATTTATTTATTTTGTGTGTGTGTGTGTGTGTGTGTGTGTGTGGTGCTGAGGATCAAACCCAGAGCCTCGCACATGCTAGGCAAGAGCTCTACTGCTGAGCCACAACCCCAGCCCCTGTGCCTATCTTTTTTAGAGTATAATTTTGTAATTATTTCATTTCTGTTGTTTTTGGTCTAAATCTTAGCATTTTTTAATTCTATCCTTTCTTTCAAGTCACATTACAAATCCAAGGGTTAAATTATCTATATTTTTAAATAACTCATATTACATATAAAGGAATATTCATTTTAAGTCTTATAGTATCCTATTCTTACTCGTTAATTGAATCATTGAATGTATTTTGCTTGAACTTACATTAGATCATAAAGACATTTTAAATGCACAGTAATTTTTTTATTCATTTGTTAATGTGAAATGAATTGACACTAACTTTATTGTTAAATTTATTTTCCTTATATCGTTTGCAGGCTGAAGAAAAGGCTCATTCAGAGGTAAAAAAAAAAAAAAAAAAAAAAAAAACTTAAAAAACATTTTTGTGTTTGATCATTTCCGTTTATGATGCAATGAGTGTTGTTGCCACTAGAGGGCTCTGTGATACAATAACATAACTACAGAGACACAGAAAAGCCAGCCAGCTAGCTGGGAATGGTCTTAGCTATTACCTCTTAAAAAGAAATAAAATGAAATGTTTAGAAGCAGATTTCCCTCTCATGTTCTAGATTTAATCTTAAATCATTAACCAATAAGTTGTCTTTATTAGTATATGCTCATTAAATCATGGATGAATGAATGAATTTGTAAAATATTTAATTAGTCTCTCTCCTAACCCCAAACTGTGAGACCATCTGCATGGATTAATGGACACACTGAGTCTGAGGCAGCAGTCCTCCCTGAAACAGACACTTACATCCCAGCCTAACTATTTTGTGCATTGACTATACTCCCTCTTTTCACTATTTTATATCTAGGGTAGTATATTATTCTAATCAAATTTCACAAATGCATACTTGGTTGCAGTCATGTACAAATCAAAGTGCAACCTGGGAAAACATTCTTTTTCTTAACTTCTGTATGAATGAGAGCAGAAAGAGTTTAATTAGGATTTTATTCAAGGTGAGGTGATCATTTTTTGATAGGTTTGCATTGAAGCAATCACACCACAGAGAAAATAAAATAAATGTCTGGGCATCAGGCTTTGTAATGGAATGTCTTTCCTTTGAAGTCCTGTTTCATGAACTCTTAAAGAAGCATTTTGCTATGTCTGAAATACTGAAAAATTATTGATTATACAATTCATTTTTACAATCTCTAAACCAAAGAGTGAATTTGATGTTTAAAAACCTAAACTGTTTTCTTTCCATCATGTGGACATGGCAGTGTTTCTAATGTTATTATTACATAGCTACTGGGATATAGAAATGCTGCATCTATTTGCCTTGGTGCTGGTTGGGCCGTTCTGTATTTATTGCTTATGTACTATAGTGGGTCATATGTTTGGGAAAATATCATTTAAATTACAGTTTCCTGAGTTATATCTTAAAGGAACTAGAATCATATAATAATAATAGACAATTAATTTGAGAAAGCCTCTTTCAGTCTGTACTGATCTGAAAATATGAGATGTCTGCTTTCTGAAACTATTTATAGTCATCATCATGTACATCTGGGGTGTAGCTCTTTTGAAAAAATGCAAATAAAATGGAGTCTCTGCTTCCAGTGAAGAGATCTCCCTCCCTCCCTCCCTCCTTCCCCTCTCTCTTTCTTTCTTTCTTTCTTTTTTTCCTTGTTTAGAGACTTTAAATATTGACCACTATTTCTTTTCCACAAAATCTCTTGTTGCGGGGGGGGGGGGGGGGGGGTTGGGGTGGGAGAAGGACTCTTAATGAACAATGTCCAGAATGTTCTTTCAAACTGAGACAGCATTCCAAAAGCCCAGTTCTAACAATAGGGAACTTATATTTTAAGAAATGAGAAACATCACAGTAGTATGTTTGGCATCTTAAGTAGCTGAATTCTCTTGAGTCCAGAAATAGACTTTCAGGACCTATTTTATATGGTCGTAATTGTTTTGCCTTACCAATCACTCTTCAAATTTCCTGGCAACATGAGATATTTTGATTAGACTGCCAAAAATACTTATAAAGATTTTAAATATGATATGATATGCTTTCTATCATCCTTTATATCAGTTTTGTTAAATTGTTAAATAAAAAGGAAAACATTTTAGAATAATTAGTTTGTTGGTTCATCTATTTAGTTGTGTGATACTAGTCATTTCCCTCTTATTTTGAAGCCGCAGATATCTATAAAGCATTTCTGCTAGCAATTAATAATACCTCAATTAATAAAAGGCAATATAGTAAATATTTTAGAAGGCTTCTCTGTAAATCATTACAACTCCATCCCATAAAATTATTTTTAAATATGGACTCATTAAATGTTGAATTAAACCCAACTTTCAGGTACTACTATTCTACAGCTTTTGAGAACTTGCCAACCCTTAGAAGATAAAAATGTACGCACACAGAAAAATCCCTGAGATTTTCAGAAAAATAACATTATCTTTTGCTAAAAAAAGATGCATATTTAATTTTAAAAATTTCTACCTGAATTTTATTACCAAAATTTTTCAGGAGGGGAAAAAAAATCCATGGAGAAAGTAAATTGCATCTTGAGTCCTGCAGGGTTGCAAGTAGACGAAGTAAACATCCTTTGATTGCATATTTGAGTCCCAGTTTGCTCCTGACATTTTATAGTTATTGGATAGATGGTGTTCATAGTTTTAGGAATTAGTACTAATACAGTTGTGGTTAAATGAGTTAATATAGTATTTGCCTCCTTGGATAGAATTTGTAGTTTTAAGTAACAATCCACTAACACATTGAAATATTTTTTGTTCCATTTAGCAAATTCATAAACTACGGAGAGAGCTGGTTGCATCTCAAGAAAAAGTTGCTACCCTGACATCTCAACTTTCAGCAAATGTAAGTCACTTTTGATTTTTAAATATATCACCTCAGAACTGTATATTACAAAATGGAGTAGGTCTGCTAACACACTTGCAAATTTTAAGCATCCAAAAATCACACAGATGCAAAGTACTGAATAGTGGGACTCATATAAAATTAAATTTTTTCTGCCCACAAAGTAATAAAATGTAAATTTACATAGAGGGGAGGATTCCCAATGTGATTAAAATGGCTTTTTGTTCCCCATAAGATTTCTAACAGTGGTATCAGTTGTAAAGGTCACTTCTTGTTTCATATTTTTGTTACTCCCCATTCATAGGTTCCTTTCAAGCCTTAATATACTAAGGGTTGTTAGTGTTTGACTTAGGAAGATACAATATTCCTATTCCCTGCCCCCTTCAGTTGCATTTATCGAACAATTAGTTAAGCATCCAATTAATTAAAAAAAAATTAGATCTAAAGACGGATAGCTGAGCTACATTGCACATGAGATATAGTTGTCTTGAAAAACCTTGGCAGCCTTCTCATGGTGGTACAAAAGGATACATTTCTACTGGCAGCTAAGCAGCTTAGAATGGCAAAAATGATGACAGTGAAGACCGTCAATTATATTAACATTTATTGAATGTATTTCCATGTGCTCAGAGTAGCCGCAGAATAATAAAGGGGAAGATATGGCATTGTGCCCAGTCTTAGGGAATGGTAGTGTTGGGAACAACAGAGAGGGGTAGGGGAGCTCCTGCCATTTTGCCGTATGTCCTGCCACCCTCTCTCCACATTAGTTTGCTCATTTCTGCTCTGGAGCTCTGAGCTGCTCTCTGCCTCATCCCCCCACCTCTGCCCCATCCATGGAGACTTTCTGTTTCCTTAACAAAGCATGACATCAAATTCCAGCAGGTGCTTTAATAAAAAACATTTTGAGGATAAAAATTATTTTTGTAAAATAAATTCTAAAGGAAATGTCATTTCAATCACAGTGTATTCATTTTAGCATGATATATGAATTGAATTTATTTTTTCAATTTCTGGAGAATCATGTGAATTTTGGGACTCAAATTTTTTTTTTTTTATTGGTGGTGTTGGGGGATTTCTAAATAATAAAAGCAGATTTTTAGAGAACTGTTTAGACATTACTAGAAGATAAGTGTATAATTTAAACGATATTTTGTTTTTAAGAGTAACTCTTAAAGAGATAGTTCCAAGGCAACTGTAAGCTTTATATTATAGGTTACATGATAGTGGTATCAAACATTCCTATGTAGGTTACTGAATTTGTACATGTAAATGCCAGAATCACCCAGAGCTTTTGTTCACTGCAGTGAGGAAGGACAGTGACTGGCCCTGTCCATTAGATTGTCAAAACACTTGCAGCCATCACAAGCAAATACTCAGGGCCTTATGGTATTTCATAAATGTTTCTTGGTGGGCCTCAGCATAGAATTCAGATATTGGAATGATATGGCTGCAAAACATAATGAAATATAAACTGAGAGTCTTCCATTTAAAAAGTAATATACACACATTATTAAAAGGAAAAAAATGAAACTAAAAGAGTACTTTGTGAGAAATGTGTGTTCAGTTTCCCTCTGAGATGCCATTCTCACTGTGGTTATTGGTTTCTCATGTATCATTTAATCATTTTTAAGTTTTTCCCCCTGTGTACACACATACAACATGCATTTACCAAAACATGTGCACACTGTGGGAACCACATTCTAAAATGGAGAAACAGTTGTGATGGCCAATTCTTCTGGGTCATGGTTTGGAAAAGGAACAAAACCATTAGAAAGGTGCCAGCCACTGGCTACCTACCCACTCTGTACTTGTTCACATCACACCATTTTTACTGATGAGTTTTCATGACCTTGGAGGACACATTCTCTGATAGGCATTCACCACCAAAAAGGGAAATGTGGTTCTTAGGATTGAAAAATTCTCACTCTCTTCATGTGTAAAACACAGATATACTTATGGTATATAAATGGATGGATACCTAGAACACCTGTGCTGTTAAAATGTCATGACAGAAGTGAGCAAGTAGGGAAAAAAATCTATAATATCTCTCTAGGGGGATAATAATGAAAAAAATAAAAATAAGGAACAGAATTAGAGGAAGCAGTACCAAAGGATGATTTTATGCTTGTCTTCAAGCTAGCTTAAAAAGTACTAGTCTCGGGGCTGGAGTTGTGGCTCGGTGGTAGAGCTCTCACCTAGCATGTGTGAGGTGCTGGGTTCAATCCTCAGTACTACATTAAAATAAATAAATGAAATAAAGGTATTGTGTCCATCTACAACTAAAATATATATATATATATATATATATATATATATATATATATATATATATATATATATATATAAAGTACTGGTCTTAAAAAAATTCCCAAATACTTTCAGTTTCCCCCAAGTTATAGCTATAATAATTTGTGCACACAGATAGGAGCCTAATTAATATCTTATTATTATGCCCCCTTTTTAAACATTGTAATATACTCAGAAATCTTCTCACACTACTTCAAATAGACACAAAAAGCTGTACATGTACATAGCAACTTTATTTTTAATAGCAAAAAAAAAAATAGGGAACAAATGAAATTATCCTTTAATTGATCAGTGGAAAAACTGATACAACCTTACCATAGAATACTACTCAGCAATCCACAGAAATGAACCATTGATACAGGTAACATTCGGTTGGCTCTCAAGGACATAATGAGTGGGAAAAAAAAAAAATTTTTCAAAATGTTGCATACTGTATGATTCCATTTATATAAAATTCCAGAAATGACAATTATAGAAATGGAGAAGATGTTAGTGATTGCCAAGGTTGAGAGAGGGAGATAGCAAGGAGATCATTGTGGTGATGGAATAATTTTGTGCTTTAATTGAGGTTGCGATTTTTTGAATTCAAGTGTGTGAATCAGCATTTATACCAATATGGATTTCATGATTTTAAAATTATGTGAGATGTAACCATTTGGGGAAACTGGGTGAAGGGTAGAGAAGAGATCACTGTACCATCTTGTCAACTTCTTGTGAATGCACATCTATTTCAAATTTAAACAGTTAAGTACCCAAAGATCTACAACATTTTTGGAATTTGTTTATACAGTTACCTAGTTTTTAATTTCCTAGGACTTTTAATCTTATTCTACCAATTACTACTCATTTATTTGGTTGTGATATGGATTGTTAAAGCTTTGCACCATCAAAAAAAGTTATTTGCTGACATTATTAAAATATGGGAATCAAAGGGTTCAGGTCGTGAAGATGCTCACCATCTTCTACATTGTTAACAAAACAGTTTATCATTATTCAATTTTATACTCAATATTGATGACATGTAAATAGGCATGTGTATGATTGTAAAAATGATACTACTGTTTTGAACATTTTTAATAGTATCATTAGAACTGCAAGTGATGGAGTCATTTATGTACATGTGTTTTTAGGGGAATAATTATCTTTTACACATTCCAGAATTTGAATGACTCGCAAGGCACATATAAACTACAAATCATCTGAACTCATTTATTCATTTTAACATTTGACTTATGATGTCACTTTAGATTTCCCAGACCACATGAACCATCAAAGAATTTAGTTAATACTTGATTTTTCTTCAGTTCAAAGGAATACTGTTTAAATTTCATTCAGAGTATTTTTTCATTTAATCTGAGTTAGTCTGTTGATGTATGTATTATATACACATATTTTAACATACACATACCAAAAGTAAATTAATCATAGGGACTGAATAAAATAATCTTGTATGATTTCTTCATGGTAAATCAAGTGGTATTTTTTTGTTTTGTTTTTGTTTTTACGATGTTGAAGTTTGAATCCAGGTTCTTACACATGCTAAACAAGTGCTTTTACCATTGAACTATAGCCCTAGCTCTAGGATTTTATTTCATTAATTTACAATTTCTATTTGGAGATAGAGATATGTCTTTAAGAATCTGATACTCTACCCGTTGAGTTACCTGAACAAGTCTTTATTTACTAATTTGTTCAGATTAGAAGTCAACTTTATATCTTGGTTAAATAGGAACGTGGTAAGATTTGGTTTTTTTAGAAATACAGTCAGTCTAATTTCTAAGGACAGATTTCAGTGAGTTTGGTTGTGTGGAAGATATCATTAACCATGTCTATTTTCAATTTAATAATTATTCTAAGTATCTGGGTATTCGTTTTTATTCAGTACATGAATACTTTGTTAGGACTTAATGATTTTTCCTTAATTGGGCATATTTTTGTAATTGATATGTCCCAAGCTTAAACCCAGTATGACTATGTTTATATGAAGTCCACATAAGAATGTGTTCTAATTTTTAAATTTGAAATGTACTTCTCTGCTGAGATGCTTTTCTCTCTTTTTGCTAAAAGGACTAGTGGCAGGTCAAAAGGTGATCAGTCAGCTCACTTCTTCTTTGGCAGAGCAGAGCCTCCGAACCAGTAAGGTTTCTCTCCTCCAGTTGCTCTGCAAAGAGCTGCTTAAAACCACCAGAGACTGGTATATAAAGCTGATTCTACTGGTAGATCTTCGGAAAAGAGGGAGGGAGGATGTATTGGCAAATGCTGTTGCCTGACCATCTCTGGGTCAATACCTGCTCCCCAATAAACAGAGGAAAACAGGAGCCTCCCGCTGCAGATGCACGTGGTCTCATCACACCACTACCCAGGTTTTCCAGGCCTCTCGCCCACACCTGCTTGCAGCTGAGGCAGGTGGATATATTTGTTTGCTTTCCAGTATATTTTCTTTCTAAATCTTAGCCATTAGATAATTTGGAAATGGGAACTCAGACTAGTTATTACTTCGATTTTTCAAAAACATTACTGAATGAATATGTAACAAAAACAGGGGTACTTTTTTCTTTCTTTTTTTTTTTGCTTTTCAGCAAATAAGTCTTTTAACCAAATCCTCTTGGGTATTATTTTCTTTGAGAGTGTGTCCCACTTATTTGCTCTATTTAATATTTTTATATGATCTGACAGTGCCTCTTGCTTTTCTGCAGTTCTTCTAACTGAAAAATATTTTGCAAATGTTAACAGTAATGAAGACATAAGGGACAATTCTGTATAGACAAAAAGAAATGTTAAATCTTATTTATGTTTCAGATCATTCTTGGTTCAATTATTTTATTATTATTATTATTAGTAGTAGTAGTAGTAGTAGTAGTACTAGTTTTAACCCAGGAGTGCCTTACCACTGAACTATATCCCTACCCCTTTTTTTATTTTTTATTTTGAGACAGGGTCTCACTAAGTTGCTTAGGGTCTCACTAAATTGCTGAGGCCTCAAACTTGTGATCCTCCTGGGATTACAGGCATGTGCCACCGTGTCCAGCCTTGGTACAGTTATTAATTTTCAAATGCAAGTTCTTATGTATCTGTATATATGTGTGTATATAAATATATCCTGATAGAAATTTATGGATGGAGTATTTTTTATTTGGCTGATGAAATGTCACTTCTTTATGTGTGAACAAATGCAGTGTAAGTATTATGTATTTCATTTCACTGTTTATCATCACAATAATTTCCTTTGAATATCTGTTCGGCTTCTATTGTGTGATCCTGTATGTATTAGCGAATAGTCTCATCTATTTTTTTGCCTTGACAGACTTCATCTAACCCAACTCAGGGAATGTTCATCACCATATTCATACAATTTACCCTGACTTGAAAATGATGCAGCTGCGAAAAAGCAAAGTTTAGAGCCAAGTAAATTATGATGAAAATCCCTGAAAATCAAACATTTTTGAAAAAGTCATTCTATGAAGGTGTTTTAGCCACATTATCCTACAGTTCAGTCAGCTTTGCTTTCTAGTTTCTTCTCATTAAAGTGATAAAGATCATTATTGGTAGGAAAAATCCTCTCATTTACCTGTTTTATTCTTTTACTATTTACCACAGCTGGTGAGAAATGAAACAGTTGTTACTTCCAAAGTAACAAAGTTAATCTGACAAATTAAGCTAAGGTGACATAAATATAAAACAATGTTTCACTAATATAATTTTAGCATTCCTTTCAATAAAAATAGCATGACTTAAGTTAACCAGTTCTTTAATAACCAGTGATAAGGGGTTTTTTGTGAACAATTAGTGAAAGCAATTCTACAAAAATTAGAAACTGATATTCTAATGGTAAATATTTTGCCCTTATATCTACAAAATTTAAACAATATGACTTATATAGCATATTATTTATTTTTATTGTTTCTTTTTAGTTATACATGACAGTAGAATCCATTTTGACATAATTATACACACATGGAATATGTCTTGTTCTAGTTCAGACCCCAGTACCACTCTTTCCCTTATCCTTTCCCCACAACTTGCTTCTTCTCTCTTTATTGATCTTTCTGCCATTTAACTAATAGTTTTTTTTTTATTAATTTCTTGTGGATGTACATGATGGTGAACTTCATCATGTGGTATATTCATATATGTATATAGGAGAGCTGTGTCAGATTCACTCCACCATCTTTTCTTTTTCCATCCATCCTCCCTTCCCTTCATTCCCCATTGTCTACTCCACTGAACTTCTAATCCTCCCTCCTTATTGTGGGTTAGCTTCCACATATCAGAGAAGATATTTGACCTTTAGTTTTTTGGGATTGGCTTATTTCACTTAGGATGATAGTCTCCAGATCCATCCATTTACCAAGAATGTCATAAAGTCATTCTTCTTTATGGCAAAGTAATATTCCTTTGAACATATACTGCAATTTCTTTATCCAGTCATCTGTTGAATTACACCTATGTAGGCTTTATAGCTTAGCTATTGTGAATTGTGCTGCTATAAACATTGATGTAGCTGGCAGTTTTTTACAATCCTGATTTCTTTGCCATATTTTCAGTTCCTATTAAATCAATAAAATATGAACAAAGAGAAAAGTCGTTTTCTTCAATTGTATACATTCAAGGGTTTACAATCCTATAGTGTTTAAGAAGGCAAAAACATAGCACTTAAGAAGGAAAACTTAGGTGTAAACTTTGCCAAGCAAAGCAAGAAAATAATTAACATAGACGTTAAAATAGCCATTGCCTTTGGCAAAGCAGAGGGACCCACAAAGGGGAAGGAGCAAAACAGGTGTCTAGGGTCTTGAACGCCCTTTCCTTGATTTGGTTGATGAGAATCTGATTAAATCAGCATACTGTACATTTTTTTTTGGTTCATTTTTATGGAAGCATTTTTCACAATTAAAAAAAGTTAAAATGTAAGCAAAAATATAACATAACCTTATGCTAATTTCAGAGCACACAAAAACTACCATTCCACGTCATTGGAAATATTTTAAACTGCAAAGAAAGATTCCTTTTTTAGAGTCTCATTTGTCCAATTAACTCTATTAACTAAACTTTAGTGTATAATTCTCCATGGTTGGTTTTTGTTTTTATTTTTGTTTCTGGCGTGTGTGTGTGTGTGTGTGTGTGTGTGTGTGAGTGAAGTATAGATCCATGTGTCGGGGGAGAAACAGAGACAGGGAGTGAGAAGGAAAGAAGGGAGGGGAAGTGAGGAAGAAAGAGAAGGTGGAAGGAAGGGTGGACGATAGTGGAACTAGAGAATAGAGTGATTCTGATGGATTGAAATTTAGAAGTATTCCTTCAGATTGTTTTTCTCCCCTATTGTAATGTTAGGGAAAGAAAACCAGCCCAAAATGAGTTCAGAGCTAGGAACGAAGACATCTTTGCATTTGATGCTGATGGAAGGGACTTGGATATTATATAATGGAATAAACTTCCAGATTCCTGATTCTTAGGACTCTTATGATGTATGTTAGAGTAGGTTCCTCAGCTCCAGCTATAGAGGGATGTATGCTATCGGAGTCTTCTTATTTTCATCCTTTAGAAAAACAATCTTTTGCCAAGGATTACCGAGTTTTGCCCATATGTAGTTTTTTATAGACTTGGGTTATAAAATATTCAACTTTCAGATCCTTCTGGGGGTGTAGTATAAATCTATCAGTTTGAGATAATGGGCCTGAAGCCTGATGAGAGACTGACCCCCTCTTCATGCTAAGTATTCTGGGTTGGAACTATTGCATAATGGTATGTCAATCTGGGGCTGCAGTAAGACTGCCAAATTCTTCTTAATCATAGGAGTTATGTTATCTACTACAATATGTATAATTCTCTGAGATTTAAAATAAAACCACCATCCTCAAAAGCTTAATGCTAAATAAAATATCAGTGACTATTATTTCTGGATGGCCTACCTGTGCTTCCTTAGTTGAAGGGAATAAAAAGGAGAAAGAAAAGCTCTTTTATTAAAGAGTTTGGAAAGTGAAGACGACTCTTCGATTCAATTCTTTGTAAGTAGAAAAAGAGGAAAGATAATGTTATAGCTGTCAGCAGCTGTCTGATAGTTGAAGGAGAGCATCGTTACAATAGAGGAGCTAACAATATCTTCAAAGGTCATCATGGAAGTCTAAAAATGAGGAACATTTGTCCATTGCCTATTTCAGTGACCTCCTTTTGGGCTTTCTTTCTAAAAACTTGGCAGCTCAGAACTTTATTCAGTATTTTGAGTGTCAAATCCCTGCACGATGTGCAAGCCAGAAGGTGTGATTATTTGCAAAATATCATCCACTTTCAGAAATTGAACTCATATTAAATGTCAAGAGACTGGTACACTGATTTTTAAGAAGCCAAAGTTTAGAGATGAAAAAGATAAAATGAAGATTTATGTAAAAGGAGAATCACCATTGTGAGCTAACCATGACAGTCCTAGTATTTAAAGAGTGAGAACATCTGAAAATAAGCGTTTTGTAAAATGAAGGGTTTTCATCTATCCACATGAGATCCTGACATTTTAACGGTGTTTCTTCCATTATGTTCACAGGCTCACCTTGTAGCAGCTTTTGAAAAGAGTTTAGGGAATATGACTGGCCGATTGCAAAGTCTAACCATGACAGCGGAACAAAAGGTATGTTCAGGAATTGCCACGGAGGCTTGCAAGGAGGAAGCACGTTTCAGAGAATGTTCATAGGATGCTTAAATAATTCCTGAGATGAAGCTCCTTAAGAATAATGCCACAGAGCATCCACTCTATACTAAATTAGAACAAAGAAAAGATAATAACTTTACTTTTCAGATTTTAATTAAAATTAAAAACATGATCAAATGAATCCATATTGGAACATGCACACACAGATACACACAAAGTTCTTTCTTTGAAGTCTCTTTTGCTTCTCACTAAAACTATTAAAAGAAAAACAAAGGTTAAGAAAGAGAAACAGTTGTATAAGAGAGATTTCAAATATTCTAGGAGCAAATTGTCATGCGATTGACAAGAATTGCACTCTGATGAGAGTACAAATGCATGGTATACAAGCCCATTAATAAACCTTGTCTTGAGGCTGAGATGCCCAGGAGAGATATATAGGAAAAGTGTATGAACTATAACATAAGGAACTTAAAGTTATAGCATCTATGATACAGGAACAATACTGTGCAGTTTGGGAGTCTTAAGAACTAGTTAATGTCTAATGCCTGCCTTTGAGTAATGTTATTCCAGTTATGTTTAAAGCTTTAAAATAAATGCAAAAGATCATATGGTATCGAAGAAGAAATACTGAAAAGAAAGGAACAGAATTTAGTTCACAAAGGCAGATCTATTAAAAGGGTCCATGCTGCCAAGGGTCTAGTCACTTTTCCTAAGAGACCAGTTAACTTTCTTCCCTGCTGTTAGTCAAGAGCGCTTACCTCTTTGGATTTATTGTCAGAGAGAGTTAGGTGCAGCCTCTGAAATGTATGGAAATTTTTATGAAAAATGCATATGTATTTAATATGAGCAGGTGCCCACAGTGCTTTCTAATTCTCAGAGAGATTCCCAACCTAAAAAAAATCTGAATATTTTCAGAATCTGTTCTTATATTTATCCATAGGGATGGTTTAATTTTGTCTTTAGCTTTTGTAAGGTCTAATATTAGCTTTACAAAACTAGCATATATTACCAAAGTTTAAAGTTTACAAAAGTTTAAAAAATCTTAATGAACAGTCAATTAAAAGAGAAAATCCAATAACCTCCTATAATTGCCTTGCCTGGCATAACTGGCAAAATTTATTAATATATTATTCTAATATTTCATAGATTTATTTTAATATTTTATTTGATATTTATTCTAATATTTCATAGATTTCTCCTGTCCATGAGAGAATACTGTCCCTCCCTGTCCAACTGTCCTGGAAGAATAACTAAAAAATTCCCTTGGATCCCATAAATTTCTTTACTGTATGTATCTGTCTCTCTCTCTCTCTCTCTCTCTCTCTCTCTCTCTCTCTCCCTCTCCCTCTCCCTCCTCCTCCCCCTCCCCCCCCCCCTCCCCCCCTCCCTCTCTCTCTCTCTCTCTCTCTCTCTCTCTCTCTCTCTCTCTCTCTCCTCTCAGTTTGCCACTCCTCTGTGTAACATAAGAACCTAGTAAACAGGATTACAAGGCCTTTTAGGGCAGTCAGGTGCAACAGAATATTGACATTGGAGACCAGTAATTCTGAGTGTGAATCCAGATTGTGTCCCTTAGAAGCTGTGTAATCTTGAACAAGGTTATATAACATTTTCTGAATCTCAAATTCATCATTTTTCAGGTGGGAATGATAATAACTACCTTGTAGCATCACCATTAAGAGTTAGTTAGATGCTGATTATGTCACATGCCATGGACAATCAAGAAATATTCCGGGCTCCCGGAACTTCCCTGGACCGGGGCTGGGAGCCCGCGGAAACTGTGTCTCGGTCCGGGTCCTGCTGAGGGCAGGTCAGGACTCACCCATTGCTTGGGTTGCCTGGCAAGGGGAACGAAATGCTGCCATTCGCATAGGATACCAACATGGCAGAGATCTGATGTCAGCAGAAAGCGGTGGAGGAGAGATCTTCATCAATACCAGCGGTGACATAAGCAGTTGGTCTCCTGGTAAGGGGGGTGAGGCTCAGTCACCCGAGTCTCCTCAATTTGTCCTCGAGCCAGAGGGAAGGAGCCGGGCCGCCGCCAGCCCCCGGAGCAGGCCCAGCGGCTCGCCAGCGTGGTGACCGCGTGACCCCAATTGGAGAGGGGGCGGAGCGGAGCCGCCACCCAAACCCGCCAGGTGGGCAGACCCACGACCCAGTAGTACATGGGCGTGGTAGGAGGGGCAGGGCAGAGCCGCCCTTCGCGCTTGCAAGGTAAACAGACCTGTGACAGCCTGGCGGGTCAGGCCCAGTGGCCTGCCAGTGTGGTACACACGTCACCCCAACTCGAGTAGGGGCAGAGCAGATCCTTATCCCACGCCCGGATCAGGCCCTGCCGGTGTGGTGGTCACGTGACCCCAATTGGAGTGGGGGTGGAGCGGAACCGCCACCCGTGCCCGCAGGGTGAGCAGACCAGTGATCAACCTGCAGATCAGGCCCAGGGGTCCGCAGGCGTGGTAGGAGGGGCAGGGCAGATCCGCCGCCCGCGCCTTCAAGGTAGGCAGACCTACAACAGACCTGCGGATCAGGCCCAGGAGCCTGCCGGCGGGGTACAAATACCACCCTAATTGGAGTAGTGACAGAGCAGAGTCGCCTCCCTTGCCAGGAACAGACCCAGCATCCTGCAGGCGGGGTAGTCACGACACCCCAATTGGAGTAGGGGCAAAGCAGAGCCTCCACTCGTGCCCGAAAGGTGGGCAGATCTGCGACCGACCAGCAGGACAGGCCCAGTGGCCTGCTGGTACGACAGACACGTCACCCCAATTGGAGTAGGGGCAGAACAGAGCCGCCACCAGCTCCCAGAACAGGCCCAGTGACCTGCCGGCGTGGTAGCCACGACACCCCAATTGGAATAAGGAGAGAGCAGAGCCGCCGCCCGCACCTGCAGGAAAGATACGCAAGCAGTATGAAAAGACAAGGAAAGAAAGGACCACAAGCAATGCAGGTCAACGCAACTTTAGAAGAGGTAACAGCTGCAGCAGATGGAATGTCAGATAAAGAATTCAGGATATACATGCTTCAGATGATCTGGAGTATCAAGGAAGACATTAAACAGCAAAATCAGACAATGAAAGATCACTTCGACAACGAATTACGCAAACAAATCCAGGAAGCAAAGGATCAACTATACAGGGAGATAGAGGTTATAAAAAACAAGCAATCAGAAATCCTAGAAATGCAGGAAGCAATAAACCAACTTAAAAACTCAATGGAGAATACTACCAACAGAGTAGAACACTTAGAAGATAGAACATCAGACAATGAAGACAAAGTATTTCAACTGGAAAAGAAAATAGACAGCTCAGCAAGACTGTTAAGAAACCATGAGCAGAACATCCAAGAAATATGGGATAACATTAAGAGACCAAACTTAAGAGTCATTGGGATACAGGAAGGTACAGAGCTCCAAACCAAAGGAATGAGCAGTCTATTCAATGAAATAATACAAGAAAACTTCCCAGACTTGAAGAATGAGACAGAATCCCAAATCCTAGAAGCCTACAGGACGCCGAATGTGCAAAATCATAAGAGATCCACACCTAGACACATTGTAATGAAGATGCCCAACATACAGAATAAGGAGAGAATTTTAAAAGCTACAAGAGAAAGGAAGCAGATTACATTTAGGGGCAAGCCAATCAGGATAACAGCTGATCTTTCAACACAGACTCTGAAAGCTAGAAGATCCTGGAATAACATATTTCAAACACTGAAAGATAATGGGTTCCAACCAAGAATTGTGTATCCAGCGAAATTAAGCTTCAGGATGGAGAATGAAATTAAAACCTTCCACGATAAACAAAAGTTTAAAGAATTCGCAGCTAGAAAACCATCTCTTCAAAACATCCTAGCCAAAGTATTACAGGAAGAGGAAATGGAAAATAACAATGAAAACCAACAGTGGGAGGTAGGACAGTAAAGGGGGGGGGGAAACAATCAAAGAGGAAAACAAACAATGTTTAGTAACAGAAATAAACAAATATGGCTGGGAGAACAACCCATATCTCAATAATAACCCTAAATGTTAATGGCTTAAACTCACCAATTAAGAGACACAGGCTAGTAGAATGGATCACAAAACAAGACCCAACAATATGCTGCCTACAGGAGACGCATTTGATAGGAAAAGACATACATAGGCTGAAGGTGAAAGGTTGGGAAAAATCATATCACTCATATGGACTTCGGAAACAAGCAGGCGTGTCCATACTCATATCAAATAAAATAGATTTCAAGCCAAAGTTAATCAAAAGAGATAAAGAGGGACACTACATACTGCTTAAGGGAACCATACACCAACAAGACATAACAATCATAAATATTTATGCCCCAAACAATGGTGCAGCTATGTTCGTCAAACAAACTCTTCTCAAGTTCAAGAGTCTAATAGACCACCACACCATAATCATGGGAGACTTCAACACACCTCTCTCGCCACTGGACAGATCTTCCAAACAAAAGTTGAATAAGGAAACTATAGAACTCAATAACACTATTAATAACCTAGACCTAATTGACATATATAGAGTATACCACCCAACATCAAGCAGTTACACTTTTTTCTCAGCAGCACATGGATCCTTCTCAAAAATAGATCATATATTATGTCACAGGGCAACTCTTAGACAATATAAAGGAGTAGAGATATTACCATGCATCTTATCTGATCATAATGGAATGAAACTGAAAATCAACGATAAAAGAAGGAAGGAAAAAGCATACATCAATTGGAGAATGAACAATAGGTTACTGAATGATCAATGGGTTATAGAAGACATCAAGGAGGAAATTAAAAAATTCTTAGAGATAAATGAAAACACAGACACAACATATCGGAATCTATGGGACACATTGAAAGCAGTTCTAAGAGGAAAATTCATTGCTTGGAGTTCATTCCTTAAAAAAAGAAAAAACCAACAAATAAATGATCTCATACTTCATCTCAAAATCCTTGAAAAAGAAGAGCAAAACAACAGCAAAAG